ACAAAGAGACAAAATGCAACCCCATATACACAAATTGACCACAAGGGGACACAAAACAGTGAAAAAAAAGCATCATAAAATATCCCACGTTTAAAGAATTGTGGATATATTCGAGATATAAAACAATAGAATCAGCTTTTGTTGTAAAGCTGTAATGTCCAAACTGTTGTGCTTTATCAGTAACGATGATCAAACTGAAGGTAAACTATGATGATCTTCTAATTATATTATGACGGGGTTCTGTGGTCAGATCACATGTGAAGGAGAACAACGTCCTTTTGAAACTTATTATTCATACTGACCCTAAACCGATGTTATCCTTTAACGAGACGAACACACTGCAGACGTACGAGAGGTAGAAGCTGCACACGGAGGGAGAAATGCTAACAAGTTAATTAGAACAAACAAACGCAGACAAACAATATGCAAATGCTCACACACACAGACAGACACACAGCGCTGGGTGGTGACAGAGCGTCAGGAAATTGGGAAGCAGCAGCTGTCAGACAGATAGCGTAGCGTCATTAGCGTAGCACTGTTAGCGTAGCGCGGTGCGAACACCTGAGGCCTGAGCTGGACGACAGCCAGAGAGCCTGATGGAGGCAAACCTGAGTGGTGGCACACATCTGGAAACTTTAGGAGCTTCTCGGAGAAAAAAAAGATGTTCCATCAAACATTATTAATGAGAAGCGACTTAATCACAGCTATGAATGAATTACCTGATGTGATACAAGATGGAATTGCAGTAAAACGTACTCATAGTAGGTGGAAATGTTTGATTTTATTATTAATTATTGTGATTATTTTTCCAATAAAGAAGGCGTTCTCACTAGAGATGAAAAGAGCTTTGTGAAGGTAAAATGCAGATTTACTCATAGTTACATGAAGAAGAATGACCTGAGCTGACCTATAAAAATATATATTGCTCTTTAATATTTATCCCTTTGTTTTATACTCCTCCTGCTATAACGCTGACTGGGTTTCCAGTATTTTCTGCATCAGCCAGTACATTTGGAAATATTGTCCAAATATGTGATTATGCTAATTAATGCTAATTTATGCTAATTATTCAAATTGGCCAACATATGCAAGTTAGCACCTGGCAGCGTCTAAAAGTTTTAAGAGCCTTTCTGTGCGTTTCTAACAGGAAATTTCGGGGTTCTCAACGTTTCTGGGTTCAAGACAGAAACAACCTCCACATTCTAAACCCCCAAAAACCTGCTGCTTGCTCTGATCGGCACGTTTTCTCTAAAAAACATGAAAACATGAAAAAACAGCAAAAGCTTTCTCTACTACGGACTCAGCTGTAACCATCGGGGAACATTCAGAGAGTTTCCAGGTAACATGGACCACAGAGGGTAGAAACCAGACCGAACATG